TGGCAATGGAAAGGGGACAGGGTTTGCAAACTAATGGATGTCCCACCTGAGATCCTTTCCTTTGGCTTCCTACATGTCAGCAGGGCAAAATGGTGCCTTCACTGAGGTCCTGATAGAGTATAGCAGTCCTGGGGGAAAATCTGGCAGCAGCCATAACTTGGAATGGTTCCTTCTGGCCATGATGTCTCTGAGGTGCAGCTCTCTCCTCCCTCCAGGCTTTTATTTCCTGGTCCTAGTCAAACGTCATCATGACCCCAGTGTAATTCCTGTCCATCTGCCCTTGGGCTTTTGATGAAGAAGGGCTACAACCAGCATGCCTTCCCGCCAGATAGCTGAGACATGGCTGTAGGTCATCAGCGGTGGATGTTTTCTGATGGCTCTGCAATCACCAACCAGAGGTAAGTTTGTTGAGCAGAAGCTCGCCATGTCTGGCCTGGAATGCGCTGGGCTCTGCCAATCCCCAGAGAACATCAGCTGTGAGCACAAAAAGCCCATGGCCATGACAACCTCACACAGGGCAGCACTGCTGGCCGTGGGCTGGGAACTTCTGCAGGACTGCAATGAGAAGTTTTTTAAGAGTTTAGGATGAATAATTCAGCACTCCTTTAATTTGAGAGTTTTAACAATGGCAGTGTGTGTGTCCTGCCACATTACTTCAACCTTGCAATGAAGTACAAATAGATGTGATTCAGACTCTAAATATTTAAAGCAAAAATCTAATCTTAGTTACATTGTGTATGCTGTCATCTCCAAAAGCTGATAAAGAGAGACAATGACGGACAGCAGAGATTGAAATTAAATTCAAGCTCTGTATTAAAGAACTCGCACCGCTAATTCACATGAATGATTAACCACGGAGAGACTCGAGTCTGCACGCTACGGCACTGCCAGAGTGCTCTTTGTTGTCAGAGCCAGAGAACAGCCAAGGGAAGGAGGAGCCATGGACAGCCAGTCGGTGCCCTAAGGGCCCCATGTCTCACCTTGCATCATTGGCCAGGCGCTGATCCAGCAGGGAGTTAGAGGTGCTCTGGGGTGCTGCCCGCATGTGGCTCGCTCATGGGCTCTTCTAAGGCATCTGCTGTTGACCTCTATCAGAGTGAGCTCCAGACTTCAGGTAGCGCTTGAACCAGCTCCAAAGGTCTGTTCGTGCTTCAGATGTCAATAGCGTTGTATGTAACCAGGGGGATTTTATTAGCAAAACAAACACGGCTTAGTTTAGACAGATGGAAATATTTTGTGTTTCAGTAAGACCGTCTGCTCCAGCAGAAAAATCCTCTTCTGTCATTTTGCAGTGAGCTGAGCATGGGAGGGCTGGGTGCCCGCAGGGGCACTTTGAAAATGAAAAGCGCGTGGATAATCCAGGCAGTGATTGTTTCCTTCCTTGGGCTTTCGGTGGAATGCAGAGCTGTGTTCCAGCGAGAGCCACTGGAGCACAAGGTAAAGACCCTCTAGAAGCAGGATCGCATGAAGGAGGATGAGGAAACCAGCCAGGCCCTCAACAATGAAAATCCGAGTAACGTCCTTGAGGCGGTTTTACTATTGTGAGCATTGCCATGGACCCAGATGCAACTGCAGGAAACACGGATTTTGGTGTGTTTCTCATCCCATGGCTTGGCGTCCAGGCTCTGCAACCAGCAAGTATGATCTCTTACTGAATAGGAGCAGAGCCGCAGGAGAGGAAAGATTAAGGGTATCAAAGGAATACATTTTTCATTTCACTCCTTTCTTATTACTGTAGATTAAAAGGAGAAAAAAAAAGAGTTTTGTTCGACATTCAATTTTGCAGAGAATTAAATAAGCCAAAAACATTGTTCAGAATTAGAGCACTGAATAAAGGATTTCAAAAACACAGTGTGTGGTTCGTGGTGGGATTTTTATTTCCTTTTAAGACAAGCCATATACAGCTGTACCAGAGCTATTGTCCTTTGTCCCGCCGAAGAAATAGTTTCTTTCTAAAGTGTTCAATCCACTGAGACACGTAGGTGCTTTGAAAACTCAAAAAAGAAGAAGGAAACCACTCAAACTCTCTTCTGGTTCAAATGACAATTATCTGAAAGGCAGCAAAGAATCAGGAATACGTGGATAAATTAAGCAGCTTTTGATTGCCTGACTGTGAACAGTAGTGGGATTTTTGTCTTCTTTGGGAATGATACCCTGCAGCAAGCAGTGTGTGCAGACAAGATGGAAGTTGGACCCAAAGGAGTGGTGCGAGGGCACTGATCGCTCGTAGCCCAGATGGCCATTACGAGCCTGCACAGGAGAAGCCACTTTCAGTTCTCGTAGATGGAGAGATATTCCTTGCCATTGAACCTCAAGGGGCCACAATTTGAAGAAACAACAAAAAAATTAATAGTGTTCTGATTCCTGTGGGTCAGGAGAGTCTCCCTTCTTTCTGTTCTGCAGGGACTGTGAAACAAACAGCAAGACTTCCATCACCATTGTCAAGCTGCACCAAGACCAATGCTAGCAAAAGCAGAAGGCCAAAAGGTGGAACCTCCTTTACAAGTGTACCTTTCAGATTCCTCATTATCAATGGCAGGAGAGTTCTCAAAATAAAAAAGACAAAAACACAACCTGGGCAAGTACAGAGGGGACAGAAGTTCTGACCATTTCAGCTTCTGTGTGCTGTTGTCTTTCATTCCCCAGAGAATTCCATGCTCCAGACAGGGCTGAAGAGCAGAGGGGCTTGTGTTATAGAGAGCCTGGAAAGCTTCAGGATCTGAGCATGACTGCTCTGAGCTGGGAGTGAGGATGAAAGCAAGTCACAAGGCCCTCAGTGCTGACATCTCCAGTGCAACAACTCCACTGACTCAAATTGCCAAACTGCAGCCCAACTGAGTGTTAACCAGAATACCAGAGCACTCTGGCCAGTGGTTGGTAGAATAACGGCAGCACACATCTTCCTTTCGACATCTGCAAAGTTGGCTGCCTCATGGCTCTGGCAGATTGTCCACAGATAGAGGAAGAGACAAAAAGCCAACCTAAAAAACCCAAACCTATAACTTTTTTTTTTCTAAGAGAATACGATAGACTTGGAAAAAGTCTGAAGACAGGGCTGTCTTTCCTCACGGTGACGTTTTTTAGAAAGGAAGTTCTCATTACAACATGAGCCTAGGTATACATGGGAAACCTGGCTTGAGCCTTAAAGCTGTGCAGTAAATGGAGGTGCTGAGGCTGCAGGAAGTGTGTGACAGGAAGATTTCTGGATCACTTTCGGAGATTTTAGGCCAAGTGAACCCATAGTGCCAGGACATAATATGACTGAAAATGGTTTTGTTAATAACACAGCTTGAGCAGCTGGAACAGCAAAGGGCCGACCACAAAAATCTCATCAGTGCCGGTGAGTCCAGGGCAGCTGAAATTCAAGCTTGGAGCCATTCCAGATCGTTACACAGCTGGCTAAAAAATAATCTCCCATGTAACAAGAGTTTGGGAATTTGGGAATGGATGGACTTCAGTTTGAGTTCCCGAATTCTCCATACAATTTTTTTATTGTTTATAGCGATGGCTCCAGCAATCTTCAGGCTGCCAGAGTATCTGGTTTTAGAGAGTGCAAGTGGACACAGCTCAGCCTGAGCAGGCTGACCATGCACCCAGCACAGCCGTCTGCAGGATGGGAGGCTCACATCTGGCAATGTGACAGAGCAATGACAAAAACCATCCCTTGAAGCGTAGGGCCTTAAGTACACAAGCTGGCCGAGAGGTCCTCTGCCCATAACCACATGTTCATAAATGTAAGAAGACGCAGCATTGGAAGAAGATCTAGGAATGTGTCAGAGGGAAACCTGGCACCCAGGAGTAGCAAGTAAACTGACCAAGTTGCTCAGCGGAAGCATGGACCTCGTTCCATCAGCTGAGATCTCTACTTGCTCGTTTGCAGGCACAAGCAAGCAGCACAGCCCTGTGGCTTTGGAGAAGCCGAACTCAGCAGTGGGTCTCAGAGCTGGGGGAGGCGTTGGCAGTCCCTGCCCTGCACCAGGGTGGGTGGGTGTCCCAGCAGAACAGCTCTGTCCCCAGCTGCCACTGTGGCTCCTATTGTGCAGAGAGAAGGTTCCTGTGCCCAAAAAAGAGGTCCTCAGAGTGGCTGCAGAGCGGCTGAAAAGGAAGGAGACCCCCAGTGGGCTTTTTCTTTTATCTTGCAGATGAGCCAGATGGCAGGAGTAGCAGAAACCAGAGGAGGAGCATGAAATGTTTAAGAATCAGATTGCTAAAATGCAGGGAAAACTGAAGCCAAAAACTAGGCCTGGGCAAAACAGGGCACCAGAGTGGAAAAACAAGCACAGGAGAAATGTAGCCAAAAGGCAAAAGAATAAAATATAACAGCTAGGATTCATTCAAATTCCGACTCTGTGCTATCAGGAGAGGAGACAGAGAAACCAAAGTCCCCTTTGTAGCTGCAGCTGCTCACAGTTATTGGCCCCATGCTGCCTGTGCTGTGGTGCCCAATGCCTGCAAATTTCTCTCATGATGTGAAAAAAGGGCAAAAGGCACAGAGTGACCGGTGGGTCCACCTCACATCTTGCACACAGCAGGCAAACACTTGGCTCATCTCACAAGTGGGAAGGATTGGCAGCATTGCCCAAGCATTGCCCCTGCCCAGGGCAGCTCCTGCCCACCCACAGCCCGTGACGGTGGCGGCACGTAGCATTCCCCCTGCAAGCCCTCCTTCCTTCCTTCCAGGGCTTCCTGCTCCCTCTGAGGGAGGCTCCCTCCCCACTGAGCTGCGTTTCAGGTGACTTTCAGATAGGGTTGCTGTCAGGCAGGAAGACGCCTTGCTATGGGATGCTGGAACACATCCTCTCTTCTCAAGAGGACTCTCATTTTTCAGAGCAAATGCCCATATGAGGGGCGTGACGTCAGCCCCACCATCTGTGGGACACGCTGTGCTCATCCATTACCAACCGCAGACTGACGGGCGCTGCTGCTCCATCAGCCCCAGAGGAAGCATCGCAAACCCAGCAGCCACCCCCCAGTTTCAGTAATGATCCTGTGACACTTTGTGGAAAAAAAACCAACATTGTATTTGATTTACAATTAACAGGATTTACAAATAATGACAAAGAAATGGATTAGCCATGAAATTAAGATGCTTTTGTTGATGAAGAAGTAGCTGGCAAAGCAGCTTTATGTAGCGGTCATGTACCTCAGTCCTACACGGTGTACAATAACTTACAGCCCAGGCAAGGTCAGGAACAGTAATACGCAAATGCAACGAGTCGAGTACAAAAACAAAACAAAAGCCCTCTCAGCCTGCTGGCCTGGCATTGGTGAGGCTTCCCATTTCTGTAGCTGGTGGGAAGATCCACTGACAAACACCAGGAAGCTTTCCAAAAAGAAACAAACAAATCAGCCAACGGTAGAAGCGACCTTACGGCCACGCGGCAGCCTGGGTCAGCGGCCGAGGCTGGGGGTGGGCGCTGGGCAGGGCAGGGAGTGAACTCACACTGATGGCAGCGCTTCCCTAAGATGCTACTTCACTGCCAACACTGGCGAGACAAAAGGGAACGAGGATCTCTGATGTGCAATACAGCAATTGAAGAAGGCGTACCGAGCTTTTGGATTTGTACGTAGCTTACATACGTTGTAAGCGCACACTTCCCACTAGTGACTTTAGCTGTCTTTGCTATGGGTTGATGGTGTTGTTTGATCAGATGCAGAATTCCAAAGCTCAAAACAGTGGTTTTCAACACGTGGGCATACAGGTTTTCCAATATCGTACTAGTATTTTACATCACAAATACAATAAAAACAAGTGATGGTAATTCTAGGACAGTTCCAAATAAAAAAATCATCAGAACCATTCTAAAATAAGATATTATACATTATCAGATCATGTTAAACAACACACTCTCGGCAAGCGGCTAATTACAAGCATTCTGCTGGTCATGGTTTTCACACAAAAGTCATTCAATAGCACATAAATATTTCTTTTTCTGATCTGCTTCTTTTTACAAAACCATTCATCAGATTCACAGAATTAGTACAAGTAAGGCACATTAGCATATATCATTAAACTCACATTGATAACAAAGGGTTGTGAAGATTTAAGGACTAATTCTCCTTTGCGGTGACTTCTGAACCAAAAGAGACTCTCTATCAGAAGAACCCTCCTCACAGCCACGGCATCACTGTCACTTCCATTGCAGCCAACCGTGCTGGGTGCAGTACTGTGCTTTACTGTGGGCATAAATAATTAACCTAAGAACTGTGTGTGGCAGCAAAACCCATTGGCAGATCTCACAGAGAAAGTGGTCATGTTGTTTACTACGTTCTGAGCACAGACGAAGTTTTGGAGCTACGTGGAAGTCAATTTCCAGTTATCAAAATAAAAGGGGATATTGCATGGTTCTCTGAATATGCGGTTATTTTCCTAGTACAAATATTGCTTAAAATATAAAGGACGCTATAATATTGAGTTTACTTGCATAATGAATTCTAAATGCTGATGTCTTAGATTGTATGCAATTAACTGAACTACAGACTCGCCTTCCTCCACCCCCCACCCTGCCCCCAGCCAAAGGACTCTCCTTCCCACAGAAGATTCATTTACACACAACACAGCTTTTAATTAGAAGCATAATTTACAGTAAAAATTTTTTACATTACACCTCTGCTATCAAAAAAACATGAAATCTTTCATTTAAAGTTGTAATTACACATTAAAAAATAGAACACTATTTCCTTAACAGGAAGAATGAATTTGAACATCTTCAGATCAGATTTCTTTATTGCGGCTTTCGAGTCAAAGGTCAGTCACTTTATTCTCTAACGCAGCTGCTATTTGCTGTAAACGGAAGGCGAGCTGCATTTTTTGTGCAGCTGGATCCTCTTCAAGTGCATTTATAATCTGGAAGAAATAAACACAGAATGTTTAGAATCCTTTAGCTTAAAATATACGACGCCGTTCCCAGACCGAGTGTTTGACACTGCTTTGGTTTCCAAGCCTTTTGCATTCACCTGGTGCTGGAGATAAGGTCCTTCTATGGGTCCCACATTCTGTTCTACACACGAAGACAGTAAAAGTGACAGCCTCCGTTATTTTATCTAAGTTACCACAATGTTTTGCATTACGCTGGGATCCAAGAAAATTAATAGATAGCACTTTTGAAATATTGCACTGCAAGGTGGAGCAGACAGCGGGAGAAACATCAGAAACACCGCCTTTACAGCCAGTTAAGAGTTTTACTTGCAGAACACCCTCGAGGGTCATTACCAGCAGTAATTAAAGCCCTCTCCCATTGGCTTTGGCTATGGGCAGCTCCTGGGTGGCACAAGTGAGGGCAATACCAAGCGTTGGCAGTCTGTGAGCAGTGAGGTGAAGGACACGGGTCGTCACAGTGCCGTTGAGCTGCCAGCCCCCCTTTACTTCCCCAGGTAGAGCTGTGCACCACACGGCTCAGGAAGCACCAGAGCCCATAGAGCCCATCGGAGCAGCAGCCCTCACACAGCCCCACCGTACGGAGTGTGTGCAGGAAGGGTATGTGCAGGAAGGGTATGTGCAGGAAGGGTATGTGCAGGAAGGCCCCACGCCAAGGCACGAGGGATTTCAAAACGAGAGCTCGAAAAGGTCAGCTGTTATGAGAAGGTTTTTCTTCAAATAGAGTTTTTAAGGGCTTCTCTAGATCAAATTTCAAAGGTTTTGAAAGGTTTTCATTCCTACCATCCTTTAGGGAAACTCTTCCACCAACTATTAGATTTCTCCATTAGGGGAATGCACGGTATGGCAAAACTGTTCTTTTTCTACAGGCGGCTTTATTAATAAAAGTCAGCCGCTGTCAGCAAGCAGACACCTTTAGCTGTGTTTAAATACTACCTAAGTCGGCAAATATAAGGGCTGGAGAAATAGAGTCTGCCTGTCACTGCCTGCGGTTCCCGCTGCTTCGTGAGCTTTATTGACAATGGAGATTAATGCAGTCAGTTTCAATCCAGCTAATAATTTCCCTTTTGAGGACTGGTATGGCATTAGAGTTTCAAACACTGGAGCAAATTTGTTTAGAAATCATTATTTTAATGGATTTGTTTTCAAAGTGTGAAAACATTTTTACAAGACAGAGTTAATAAACTCTTATTACGGTATTTAAATAGGGCCTAATTTAATTTGATATTGTTCCCCTAATTTAAACATTTACACCTAGCTGTAACGCCTCAAATCGAGACTAAATAATTCATGATTATCTCTGCTGGTGAATGTAACCTTCACATAAATGTGGACAATTAGAGCTTACCCACTTAGTCACTGTCAAGCCCTGCAGAGATGCACAGGGGGCAGCGTGTTCTGCAGCCGCTGCTTCAGCAACAAAGATAAGGGCCATCGCATAATATTCCAATTTATGCAAATTAAAGCATTTTTATGGAAAATAAATAAGCTCAATTAATTTTCCTGAATAGTTCTTGACGTATTATCTCCCTAACTCCGAATTAGCAGCCTTTTGATCAGAGGCATCTCGTTGTTGTACAGTGATGTATGCAAAAGAAAGGGCTGCAGCTCTGCTTTGTTGTTTGCTGCCTCACCCCTGATAAGCGCCAACTGATGGCTGAGCAGAGAGCAGGCGCCATCTGTGCCGGCCTCCACATTGGAGAATCCCAAAACCACAGCAGGGAGCAGGGACAAGGGGACGTGGGAGAAGCAGGGCTTTATGGTTCACCTGTCACACAGGTTCCTTGGGTGTTTCCATAACAGGTCAGGACACAGAGATCACAGAATGACTGGGGTTGGAAGGCATCTCAAAGCCCACCCAGCCCCTGCCATGGGCAGGCTGCCACCCACCAGCTCAGGCTGCCCAGTGCCCCATCCAACCTGTTGTGGAACACCTCCAGGATGGGACACTCACAGCTTCTCTAGGCAACTTGTGCCGGTGCCTCACCACCCTCTGAGTAAAGAATTTCTTCCTGATACCTAATCTAAAGCTCTTTTAATTTAAAATCACTATCCCTTCTCCTCTCATACACTTCCTGGAGGAGTCTCCTTCAGGCACCAAAAGGCTGCTATCGGGACACCCTGAAGCCTGCTCTTCTCCAAGCCAAATGACCCCAACTCTCTCAGCCTGCCTTCATGGAAGAGATGCTCCAGTCTCTGATCATCTTTGTGGCCCTCTTCTGGACCTACTCCAACAGGTCCATATCCTTATATTGAGGTCCCCAAAGCTGACCGCAGTACTGCAGGTGGGCTTTTATGAGGGCAGAGCATAGAGGCTGAAGCGCCTCCCTTTCCCTGCTGGCCACCACTCTTCTGATGCAGCCCAGGATACAAGTCAGCTTTTTCCAGATATTCTGGAATATGTTGAAAATAAGTTTACTCAGCTCTGGGGATGTGTAAATCAAAGCCATTAGGTTTGACTGTGAATCTCCAAACACTTTTCCTACTAACCCCATTGCAAGATGTCTCAAGATGAGTTGGTTCTCTTTGCTTATGTCTGTTTTAAAGCTGTAGGAAGCAGCTGCAGTGAAGCCGGGTATGAGACTCACTGCTTTTAGTGCTATATTTAAGTGAAAACAAGAACTGTGCTGAGGTGCAAGACAAACTGAAGCGAGCTCACATGTGCTGCACTCTTTTTTTTTGATTCAGCATCTGTTCTTACTTGCTTTGATTTAATTCTGAGAGTTTTCTGGAGGCATTCATTTCCATGGAAACCTTTGGATAAAAGTTTCCCTCTCTCTTTTTGTTTTCAGATTAAATTTGGAGAGCCGTAGCCACAGCCCAGCGACACTGGGATATTCTTTGTCCCCCTTTCCTCAGGGCCTGAAGAATCCAAGAAACACTTTGGACTGAATCTGTGAGCCTCCTTTTGAATCTGACTGTTCTCAGCAGTTGTTCTGCCGCAGTTTACCTTGGGCAGGCACTTCATTTGGCAAGGCAAATTGGGAGCAACAGCACACATGGAGGTTCTAAGTGCATCTTAACTAATGAAAGAGGCACTGTCCCATTCCTAGAAACAAAGCAAATTTAATGGATTGTTCCTAATAGAAAAAAACTAATGGCTTAAAACCTGACAAAGGCTCTGACGACTGCTTTTTGCTCGGTGACATCCTTATTTCCTAATTCTTGGAATTTGGATGGTAGAACTGGAAGAGAAAGGATTTTTAAATCTATTTTTCTTTCAGATCTCATTAAGCAATCACTGACAAAATCGGATACCCCATAGTGAAACTTCATTTCTAAGAACACACCCTTGAGCAATGTAGTTTCCAAGGAACGCGTCTGACCACAGAGTTAGAGCTTTCTGTTCAACGCTGCTTTTACCTCATTATCCAGGGAAGGTCAGCCTTTGTAACTTTTTATTGTTATTACATACAAAAGAAAAGAAACCCCGCTTCTTACCTCATCATAGTATTTGTTAGTGTACTGGTAGAGTTGGTGTAGAGCCACAAGCGTGTTCAAGGAATCAGTATGTGCCTGTTAAACAACACACATGAGCAGCAAATGTCAAAATTGCATCACAGACAGTTGAAAGTTATGCACACACATGACTGTTGGATACAGCAGACAGTCCCGTTTTCAAATTCAAGTTCTGCATCTTTTACCTCCTGCTAAGTGGAGGAAAAAGGAGTGAAAAAACTTTTGTCTGGTGATTTTGAGATCTAGATTTTCCCACTGTTGTTCTTCCAGCCTGTCTGCAGCTCCAACAGAGGACATGGAAAATATTTTTGTCAAACCACAGATTACAGCTGTAACATCTGTTAAGTGCATGGGTGAGCTAAGCTGTTCAGTAATCTAAGTACTGCTGAAATACCACGCATTGGTTTTGTCACCGCTGTGTTTGTTTGAAATCATTTCTTCAGCTCTTTACAACTGTTTGTAGGAGTTCATACCTCACTACAAGAAAGGTGTGACTCATCAAGAGAGCAAACGCATGTATGTTTGGAAAAAGCCATTTGAGTCTTGAAGATGGAAAGAAGAGAGACAGAAAGGTAAAGAGAAAAGGAGTTTAAAATGAAGCTAGAATTGTCCCTTCCATTACCTCTCCCTTCATTCCCCTCATGACATTTAACTACACAGTGACTGTGCTCCACCTGTCCTAAACAGATGCTTTTCATCCACATTATAGAATTCAAGTCTCTTGAATTGTAGAGATTTTAGATTTTTAAACTAGTTAAGAAAATAAAAGAATGGCAAAAAAGCTTCTGGCATAAATGAGTATCCAAGCCATAAAGCAGCAGAGTAACATCCATCTTTTCTTAGCCATCAAAGTCACTTCCAGAGCTGGTCAAAATTTGCAATGTTCTGTCAGTCTTTTCACGCTTACTTTGATCATAATTTATAGTGTAATTAGAAATGATCAACATATTATGCTGATTTTAAGACATTCTTCTGAACTTACTTTTAATTACCATTTTTTAAATAAATAAAATGAACTGGAAAATGAAATGTCACCACATGTGAGCTTTGCAGTGACTGACAGAAAATAGAAAGATTCTCCTGAGGATGATCTGCAAAACGCGAGGTCCTAAGGGCACTGAAATAAACAAACCATGAGAATCCCCACATTTCTTTATAGCAACAGGACTCTTGAAATAACATAAGCGAGTAAACAAACCAGTCACTGTGTACAGTATCTCTTTCAGATTGGCAAGGGCTTCTGCAGGTTCTCTGAGTTGAATCAAGTGCTTGGAAAGCACAGGCCTGGCCTAACTAAGCTGAGCAACACAGGAGACAGGCTTTTGCAAGAATGAAGCAGATTTTGCTCCCTAAATCCCCAGTTGATGCCCACAGCTAGCAACCAACCTCCTCTGCTCTCCTCCATTACAGGTAACACCAGAGAGCCTGTACTGTGAAAAGAAAAAGTGCAAATCAAGCAAGCTCATGATGAGCTTCTTGTAGGTAAAGTAAAAATATTGCCTTCATATAGACAGCACTAAAATGTGCTGTACTTAACGTATGCAAATTGCCTTTCATTTCTGGAGTCAAATTCTTGATGTGGTAGCACTCTGAACCCAGTCACTACTTGTTATGTACTTGTTATCAGTATAGTCAATGCTAAAAATCACCTATGTGCTGCAAAGAGAAAATACCTTTCAACAGTGTTGTAATTTTTCCACAACAGATGTGAAAAAGTCTAAGTGCTCTGCACTGGCATCCACATCACTCAAAGAGATTTGTGATGACAACCATTCTTGATTCCATTCACTAATCAACACTTCAAAAAGCCCAAATGCACTGCAACAAGCAGGAGTTTTTCAAAGAGATATGAAGTAGCTCATTTGATGCTTAAATACACAAAAACCCCACTCGTAGAGATGGAATGAGAAGACAAAAACAGTGCTATACTTGGCTTCAATTTCAGGACAAGGAAACTTAATTCATTCTTACCCTAGAGATTTCTGCTAGATGGGTATTCATATCTTGGTCACTGACTGGTACCATCTGACGAATACCTTTGTAGTAACTGCAACAAATGAAAACAAATTTCACTTAGATGAGATACACTGTGGTTTCCTGGTAATCCAGTGTTTTGATTTTGCAATTCCTTTAAACAGCTTTCCTAATAGTGCAGATGTTCTACCACAGCAGGGCAGTGACTCACTTAGCTCCTCAATCTCCCAGCAGTCATTGGTACTTGATACCCCTGTAAGAAAGGCAAATTGCACCAGCTTGCACAGGCCCGTAGCACAGGACAGGAATCTACTTATTACCCCGATGATGATTATTGCAGGTCTTAAAACTTCCAAACTAACCAGCCAGTGAGAGTTGTGTCCTGCAGCAGGTCTTGGCGGTATTCATAGAATTCCCAAATCAGTAATTGAATAAAGTCAGAGACTGGATAGAAATAATGTTATTGTGAAAATGTTTTCAGGATTTGATTCCTACTCAGTTATGGAAATGCAGCACTGGTTAGACAGATGAGTGGATAAGAACAGTCATCATGGAGAACAGCACTGTGTGCTCCCCAAATAACTCTGTCCATCTGTTGCACTGGGTCACAATGACACTTCATTTGAACACTGCTGCCAAGGGAACGTTTTAACATTCAGGTGTAAAATTTTTTACATTTGACTGCTGACTTTGCCTCTGCATTCACTTTTCCTGTTACTGAGTGTATTTGCAAAGCTTAAAACGCTAACAACTCTGCATCAACATGGAAAGTCTCTTTATACTTACTCTTCCACCATTTTCTTATAATTAGAGATCTCTTTTGCATAAAGTAATTTATTACTTGGAGAATCCTGAAAAAAATCAGAATAGAAACTTGGTTGATTTATGAACCATCTAAGAGGCAACATGAAGTCAAGAACCTAAGGTCAAGCCTTTCTAATTGTATGCACTTGAGCTTTGCAGATTTTAACATTCCAGTGCTTATTATTAACATTATTATCATTATGAACATTTACTTCGATACATGGGGGAGACTGTCTTTAAATACAGCATTATTGTTGGGTTTGACAAATGTATCACTGGAAGATGATTTTAAATTGCGGTGGACATGAAATAATCAGTTCTTAAACTTGCTTTTTTTTTAAAAGCAGTTGATATTTTCTGCTTTTTAGGACTATCAGTTGACAGACTGCACAGTAACACTGACAGGCTCACCAACCTGCTAAGTGGTGAAATGCTAACTTCATTATAAAACTAGAAGGAAACTATCACTGCTGTATCTTCTCAGAGAATTGGTATTGTCTAGGACAATGCCCTGTGTCTTGTCAGGCATGAATGTAGTCAGGATGTAGAATGCAAATTACTTACTCTGCTTAATTTGTGCTCTGTTCTTGTGCAGGCATCCATGAAAGTCTGTGCAATGACTGACAAGGAAGCATCCACTACTTCATGAACGTGAACATCAAAGATGAAATGGGGATTTTTCAGTATGTTTACCCAGAATCTAAGAGGCAAGCTGTGAAGAAAGGAAAAAGGTAAAAAAAAATCTTCTGCACAATAAATGTTCTACAACAAACAAGTGGAATTAAATACGGGTTTTGCATTTTGATCTCCTCACTACTCTGAAACTTAATTTTATATTTCAACAATTACACAGGCTGTCTTTTGTCTATTTTCCATGTCTGGAAACAAAGCCTTTACAACTCTAGCGGAAAAATAAGAAAAGCTTGTTGGAGAAGAATCCTGAGTGCCTCAGAACAGCAAGAGGAGATGCCTGTGTGGTTAGAGAAACTACCTGACCAACATTGTCTTAGATTTTGTGCACTGGCAACTCTGGTCCCTTTTGCCTTTTGCTTTCCTCTTCTCTGAGGAAAGATGAAAAGCAAAGAAAGAAATCTGCCTACTACTCTCCTGTAGGTAGGTGACTTTCATTTTTGTGACTTGTAGACAGGAAATCCTTTTGATCATATTATCTCAATTAAAACGATTCTGAGAATTACAAATGATATTTACTTTGATTTGTGGTGATAGTGCCAGCACATACCTGGCAATCACACTCCCATTTCCCTACTCTGTTCATACCTGTTTGTTTTCCAGATGTGAATGGTATCTTCATCCTTGATGTCATGTTTCTCTGCTTGCTCATCAAGAAAGTCAAAGAAGTATTTCACAGCTGGTGGCACTACATGGTTTGAGTTGAGCACACTATGAAAGAAGTCATCTACAAACTGCTGAAGAGTTCCCTAAAATATAAATTTTGAATAAATGTGAATAAAAACAAATTTTGCATTGCAGGCCTCAGCGCCATCCTTTAATGCAGTTGCAGTTACTGAAGGCCCTCAATTCTGAGTGCTGATGCTGTCCAATGACAAAAACTCCTTAATGCAATGAACTTGCAAACAGCTCGAACAGTGAAGATCTTCTAGAGAACAATTTTATGCTGTAATCTAAAGGCTGATTTAATCAGCTATTGTTTGGTTAACACAGAAAGCTTCTGCCTGACAGAAATATAGCAGAACCCAGTAGCTAAGTATACAAAAGATATACAATTCAAGGTCGTTGTACATATAAAAATAGCAATTTTCTAATTGTTTTGCAGCTTCCCACCTCCATTTTCTCAGACTCCAGAGCATCATGTACCAGTAAAACAATTTTAGATACAGACTGGGAGGAAAAAGTACCATTTGTCTTGTTATGGAAAGCACTTGGGTCTCATCAGATATCCAGCTTTACAAGCTCTACCAAGTGTGAGGGGTGAAGCATCCCTAGGGGACTGCACTTCTGACTGTATCCCTGAACCTGCCTGGACCTTACAGACTATCACTTCTGAGACTGTCCCTGTGTTTTAGAGATGACTTTGTTGAGGCCACATGTAGTTTCTCCTCAGTCAGCCAGTTGGCCCTAGAGACACTGGAAGAAGGGCTGCATCCTCTCTTTCTTCATCACTCCAGCTGCCACACCCAGGGGTGTGATGAGCTCTAAGGCCTCATACTGGCCATGCAGGCAGGGAAGACGCATCAACAGTCCTGGGGCTGCTCGGGTACCTGTGATCCCAACCACTCACCATCTCCGTGGGAGTCAGTAAAACTCCAGACTGGCAGAATCTACAAAACTGGCTGTGAGAATAGAAAAGGGGTGGCTGCAAAGTGTTTGTTAACAGAACAGAGGGATACATGCATTTTGCTGGCCCCAAGTCACCCTCATCCATATACATCCACACACTTTCCATCATGTTCACTTTGCCACGTGGTCAGATGGCCTTAGTTGGAGTCAGGTTACTCCCATTTTCACAAATAATTTGGTTTAGGAGTCATTAAATACACTATCGTAAGTTCCTTCGGTAGGGAGGAATGCTTAGTTCAATTATTTTGGTCATGATCCATTCTGTAATATAAGCACTAAAAGCAGTCTAAAAGGACTATCACTACTTGAAAAGATTTTTACTATTTTTTCTAGATTAAACTGCAGCACTGGAAACAAAAAAGAATAGGGAAACAAATGGCTCTGGAGCAGTACACAAAGCATTTTGTCCAAAATAAAATCCATCAGAACACTGTCTAAACAGGTGGCATAGAAGAGAATATCCATCTTTGTCTTACAAGAAAAATTCTCATTTAACTAACACAGAATTACAGTTCTCAGCTTTCACATGGAGTTAAAATTTTTCCCAGTAATGTTCTTGAGGGCATATTAATCACTTGAAGCTCTGAACACAGCCTGCATGTACATGACACAGATACTGAAAATTTCAGCTGAAAGCATGACTAATACTTGCATCACTTTCTTCAGCAGTACATCAAAATCTCTAGAAGCACGGTGTAACAGTGCAATATCTGACCCTTACCTTCACAGAGAGAAGTCTTGTCAGGTAGATTTCTGTAATAGCTTTGGTTCTCTCTTTTTCTTTCACACTGCCTCTCTTTGATTTGCTTTCATCAATTTCATCTACTGGCCGGACGAGGTGCCAGACCTTATTTTCATCTTCCAGAAGCGCATGCCCTAGAAACAGTAATTGCAATAATTACAAGAAAGTATCCCCCAGAAATAATTCTGAAAATGGTTATGCACATCAGTAACTGTAAGGTCCTTGCAGTCTATCCTTGGCTTACCTTTCTTTTTGCCAAGAGGATCCAGATTACTTGGTTCCTCTCTAACAGTCCAAGTACTAAATTTCCACTAATACATAACTGAAAGAGTAGCACTGAAGTAGGAAGGCATGACCTCAAGCAGAACTAACAACTGCAGGCAGCAAATTCAAAATCCATCAGAATAAGATTTTTTGAAGTGTGTTTGTCACATCAAGTCTGCTGCCACGTATCGGAAACAGGAGTAAGCACCTGGATGCTTATGACATACCCACGGCTTGGCCATGCATATGGACCTTAAGCACAGTTCAATTACCAACAATATGTGAATATTCAGATAACCTCCTTCTGCTTGAGAATCTTTTGTTAAGAGTGAGATACAATACCAACTGCGAGTTTAAACTTGCAATTAGTAGTCCTTAAACAAAGATTCAGCATCACAAACGTAGCTTCAAATCTCCTGTTTTTACTTGTCCTTCAAGTCCTGAACTTTAAATATTTCTGCATGGCGTAGAACCAAAAATCAATGGTGCTTTTCCAGTGGAGGTTACTGAATCTGCATTTTAAATCACTGGTGTCTTAGAAATGTGAAAGTTATTTTTCCCATAAAAATAGTGATTCAGCCCTGTTGCACAAAATATTTTGCAATACTGCCAAGTTTTATGCATTAATATATATGTATAATGTAAATGAATTACAGCTACAGCAGAAAATATCAGTTTCTAATTGCATGATTTTTGTCTTTTCAAACTGTTGGCAATAATAGTTTTTAACTAAGTTCTGCAACAACAACATCAAATTGATCAGATATATCTTAAACGAATGTTAAATCTTTTATATCAGAGAGAAAATGAGATTAATATGTAATCTGGCAAAGCCAACGCTTCTACTTGAATCCTAGCATCTATTTTATATATTCTCATGAAAAGTACTAGCTACGCTTCTTGTTCCTTTACTTCTTTATGACCAGGTGGATCTTTTAGCCAAGTGAAAACTGGACAGTTAATACTGTTGTCCTTTGGAAATTCTTAATTTGAGCTGGAAGTTCACGTGCATGAAATAAGAAAGCAGAAAAAGCTCTCATTTTATTTTGAAGTAGTTGAGTAGTTGTGAGTTCACGGTCGATATCACTCATAGTAATTGTCTGTCAGTGCAGCACTGTTGATGGGCCTGAAGTTTGGCTTCTCTTTCGCAGTACTTGTTATTTACTCTTGTAAAGAAATAGGTGAAATCACACACAGAAGAACTATGTTGGTTGGTACACTTCTACTTCCCCCTCTGATTCGAAGGAATACACCCTCTTTGCTCTCATAATGGTGCATAGCCTGATTTTGCTTTGGAATGAAGACAACACACCAAAGGGGATCCTACTGAGATTTCTCGCCCTTGCACATGGCTTAATCCAGCATGTGTTTGTTCAGCAACAACAGAATCAGCTACTAAAGAAATAGTAGTTGTTTCATAGGAAAGTAGGGCTTAAAGAGAACACAGCTCAACCGGATGAGGCTTCTGCAATGCAAAGATCCCACTTTATTGCTAAAAATAGCAGCCAGAAAGAGGAAGAGAAATGCAAAACAGGGGCATTGAGACATATTAGCAGTATGGTTGCTAAGAGGAGATCACACTTCTGGGAGATAACACTTCCCCTCCTGGAAAGCTAGGAGGTGAAGAAAGTGAAACACAGGGGGGAACACTGTCTTTTTGGTTGTAGCAGCCTTGTGATGCAACAAGCCATAAGCGGGGAAGGACTGTGCCTGCAGGGTCAACTGCCTTCCCCCCTGAAGGCTTCTTCTTGGCCCTTGTGAATTCTTTGGCCAATACAGAATGCAATGAATCTGATGTAAAGCTGGTGGAGGCAGGCGAGCCACTGACCGCCAGCACAGCCTCCCCCCACTGCATGACTCGTGGTGAGCTCGCCCCATCCTCTCCTGGGAATGCAACACTCCAAGGAAGGGCTGGCCTACACACATCTGCTCATCAGCATTTCTGATCTGCAGCCCTCTGGCTATTCTAAAGCAGAATAACTGAAAAAAAAAAACAACCCTAAAACACTCAACCACCAAAAACCACAAAACAGCCCCCTCAGTAAGTTTTCAACAGAACACTCTGTTTTGGCTTATAGCTCTGTACAGAAATTCTTGCACAAAATCATCAGAACCATTCTCCATCTTGATACAAATTAGTAATTGCATTCATTATCTCCAGAAGCAAAGAATTCTGCATTCAATTTGTCAGAACCACCAGCTTCCAGTGTCTTCCTGCTAGAAGCTGTGAATCAAAAGCAGCATGGAAGCAATGCCAGGTTTTAGAGCAACATCTCTGAACATGGTTTTACATTTTCGTTCTGTGCAAAGCCTCTTGCTTTGGCAGACAGTCAATGGCTTCAGCTGACATTGCTCAATGCAAAAGGTGCAAGTTAATGAGACTGGATAAAAGGAAAACCACATCGTCACAAGGCTTATTCATAGAGCAGGGATAGGTTTTCTATTTATTCCAGCCCCATAAATCCCTGACTGTGTCATATAAATGTGTGTGTGTGGGAGGGCAAGCCTCTGATCCTCTCCTCTGCATTTGATACACTTAGCATCTCACAAGTCACTGTCGCTGTCAGCGTCTCTCCCTTTGCACTAGTTCTATAATGAGAGAACAAGTTGGCACCAGCTAGCTCTGAAGACCCTTAGGGACTAAAGAAAATGGGCTAGCCCGCCATGAAATGCTATCTGCCCAAATTTGTACATCACCACTGCACGAAACAGGGTGCGGAGAAGAAACAAGGTGGAAGTTGTGTTCGTTCCATGCTTTGGGATCTGAGCTGTCTCAATATATTTTTTCTCTCATGTATGAGAGCTCTTATGTGACAGCATTGTCCCCAGAAGCCTGCTTCTCCTTTACAATTTAGAACAGCACATGTGTAACTAAGGAGTGCAGCCTGGAATGCTGATCGTGTGTGTACAAAGAGCTTCACGGTACTGAATCATAGCTGAAGACATTACTGTAGAGAAAGAGAAAAGAAGAAGGGGGGAAGGGTGGAAAGGAGGAAGGGAGGAAGGAAAAGAAAAACACTTGATCTGGTCCTCAGCTGTTTGCCATAAAGATGTGGGGAGGATGGAAGACTGGGATCCCAGAGTTGGAGACTGAATGCATCTCAGCATTAAAAAAGCAAAGCAAGCTGAGCACACACAGTCTCCACTCACTAGTCTACTCCACTTCTTCAGAGTGGAGGTGATTACTGCCTCAGCAGTTACCTCAGCAATCAGTGCAACTAAACTGAAGAGGGACTAAGATTGTTCTCCTTGGCTTGCTGCACTTCATCACCCTTTGTATGAAACTGAATGTTTCATAGAGTGAATACCAGCATAGGTATTGGAAGAACATTCAAGGATGCTGGATAAAGTCTCAACAGGAAGTATCCAGGAGGAAAGAGTAAAAGGTAAGTGGCAAGTAATTCTGCCTGTTCTGCTCTCTTGGTCAACACTGAACACTAATGAAATGGAAGCTGGCACATTTCTGTTAAATAGCAATAATACACGTCAAGCTATCAACTGAGAGTCATCTTGAAAAATGTATGTTCCTGGTATATTATTTCCAATCTGTCTGATTGCCAAACTGTTGGAAGCCACAAAATTTAAGATAGCTACATTTGTGTAAAGGAATGAAACTGTTAGGTAAAGCAATGGCTTTTAAAATCAGTGCTAGACTGAAAAGTGTATCAAACAGTTTCATGGAAGGAATAATGATCTCAACAATAATAATCAATCCATAATTCTAACACCCAACTCGTGCACAGTAACTGAATATAAGGATTACAATAAGAGAAACAGAACATCTGAAATGTAAAAGAATCACATGACGAAGAATATGAACTTACAAGTAAATACTTCCATTAATATCGCAGTGCATTTTAGGCTACAGTGGATGTTGTCTGTCAAGGAATTGAGAAACAAAGGAAATTGGTGTAGAGAGCATACCCACACAGGAAGGTAAAAGCTTTAGAAGATGGGTTCCAAGCTACCACGTCATGTCTCACACAGAGAAGTCCAACACACTGTATCAGGCAGTAGCATTAGAATTAACTTTATGTAACATGCATTATTGCATATGGAACTGCATAACTAACATGAAAGAGAGGAAGATTTAAAAGGTAAGTCATGACAGTAGCTGACAATGGACTGCAACCCTTGAAACAAAGGAATGATATAAATTTTAAGAGATAGTATGAGGAATTAACAAAATCAGCTAACACATTCTGGAAAAACCAAGTGAACATAGCTGGAGAAGTACCACTTGCCATGGTAGAGGGACACAAACTATGAATGTACAGAGACTAGTCTGCAAGGCAATGCAGTTGTAAGAAATGCAATACAGAAATTTCATCAGATCTGTTCTATCATGGAGCAGAGGAGCTGATCTCTCCTGTGGTTCATCTATAAAGGTGCATTCAATTCTCAGTTCAGTAAGTGGAAGAAACTTTGAAAATATGAGGAAAGAAGGAGAATCTATTTCTTAAAAAATTGAAACATTTTGGCTGCAGATGTAATGGCATTAAGAAACAAAATGGTAATATTTGCTAAGAGCACTTTCTATTAAGCTGGGATATAGTCTTACACTAATTATAATTACAGCTCCATTATTTCAGGCTTTTATAACTAGGATGAAGGGAAGCATGCAAGTGTACAGAAAGTAGAACAAAACAAATAAGCCCTCTATAGTCTGGTGGGGAATAAAAGGCAGTGGAAACAAGGATGTGCCACCTGGGAAGAATGCAGGGATGCTGTTCAAACATGCAGAGATGGGATCAGAAAAGCCAATGCACAAATGGAACTGAACTTGGAGATGGATGTTAAAACAACAAGAAGGATTCAATAGATACATTGGCCAGAGGATACATAGATACAGGCCAAAGAGAGTGTACCATATCAGATAAACAAGAACTGGATACAACAGATATGGAGAAGGTTGAGGTACTTAATGAGCTCTTTGCCTCAGCCTTCACTGGCAGCCAGGATTCTCCTATTTCTCATATCCCTGAATCTCACATCCTTGAACCTGTTGGTGGGAACAGGGGGAGTAAATTCCTCCCCACTGTGAGGGCAGAGCAAGTCTGACACTGCCTAATGAGACTGAACATGTACAAGTCCATGGGGCTGGATGACATGCATTTCAGGGTCTAGAGAGATCTGGCTGATGTGGTTGCCAAGCCACTCTCTAGTGACTGGAGGAAGGGAAACATCACTCCCATTTACAAGAAAGGGAAGATGGAGGAACTACAGGCCAGTGGGTCTCACCTCTGTGACTGGGAAGATCATTCAACAGATCCTCATAGAAGACATGTTAAGGCATATGTGGGACGAGCAGGTGATCTGAAACAGTCAGCATGGCTTCACCGAGGAAAGATCATGCCTGATCAATCTAGCGGCCTTCTATGATGGAGTGAAGGCGTTGGTGGACATAGGGAAGGCAACTGATGTCTTCAACCTGGTCTTGTGCAAGGCCTTTGACATGGTCCTTCACTACATCTTTATCTCTAAATTGGAGAGCTATGGATTTGAAGGGTGGAATATACAGTGGATAAAGAATCAGTTGGAAGGTTGCAGCCAGAGGGTTGTAGTCAATGGCTCTATGTCCAGGTGGAGGCCAATGACAAGCAGTATCCCCCAGGGTGTCTGTCTTGGGATGATCAGAGGGCTGGAGCACCTCTCCTATGAAGATAGGCTGAAGGAGCTGGACTTGTTCAGTCTGAAGAAGAGAAGGCTGCAGGGAGACCTCATTACAGTCATCCAGTATTTAAAGGGAGATCATAAACAGGAGGGAAATTAAATTTTACACTGGTAGATAGTGATAGGACAAGGGGGAATGTTTTTAAACTAAAAGATTTAGATTAGATGTTGGGGAAGGTTTTTCACTGAGAGGGTGATGAGGTGCTGAAACAGGTTGCCCAGAGATGTTGTGGACACTCTCTCCCTGGAAGTGTTCTAGGCCAGTTTGGAGGGCCCCTGGGCAATGTGATCCAGTACTTGATCTAGCAGCCTGCTTGCCTGTGGCAGTGGGGTTGAAATGTAATAATTCTTGAGGTCCTTTCCAACTCGAGCTATTCTATGATTCTACAGTCTTGCTCCATATACTCAGTAGACACTACCAAGATCACCATCACCATCTCTGTGTAGGTTTGGCTTCCAAACATTTTGGGAAGTAGAGAAGCCCTAAAATACTTACTTTCCCCAGGGACATCTTGCTGACTATCCTCTGGCTGCTGGGAAATTCCCATTTTCGATAAGATGAGTGTGGCACCATCTCGGACCTTTGAAGATACAAACATAGGGTTCTTATGCAAAAGAATAAAACAAGGCTGAACTTTTTTCTTAACAGATAATCTGTGGTTTCCGTAATCTTTTGTTAGAAATCTGGACCTGATTTCTATCAAAAGAAATCTGATAAATGCTGCCCTACAAAGGCTTATTGGGCAACCAGATCTGTCATTCAGAGCAGACTGCCCTCCATCTTGTTGCATAATAGATTGCATCAACACGTCCTCAGAGTAATCAAAATGCTAGAAGCACATCCAAGACATCAGTGGTTCATCTGTCCAGTGCGAAGGCCTTTTGTGCAAAAATAGATCTTATTGTGAAGAATCACACCTCTATCTTTTCTGAGACAAAACTAACTTCTGGCTTTCCTAAACAGGATACCTGTTGTTACAAGAGGACAAATAAAATACAAAGGAAAGATAAGTGGATTGCAAGTGTTAGTGTGCCCAGCACAAAATCTAACAGACTGTACAGAACATCAACATCTGCTCTCTTGACTAGGCTGTTGAACAAAACAGATCGACCCAAAATCTATTTATCAGCAGAGCAAGAATAAGGATAATTCTCAAGGGTAGGAAGTTGTAAAGGAAATAAAAGAAAATATGAATAAAAGACCCAGCAAAGGCACAGGGAGCTTTGGAATGTTGAAAGGAGAATTTAGGCAATATGTCTAGACCATGTCTTTCATGCTCTCAAGTTTTTACAGTCTAGACCCAGAGGTAGTTTTTCTTTTGATCCTTTACACAGAACAGAAGTTCCTCTATAAACAAATAAAGATTTTATTTATTACTAGAGAACAATTAACAGATGCGAACAACTGCTCTGAAACACCTTACATTATAATGCATCAGTGTGTTGATACGTTTCCATCTGCCATCTCTTTGGGATGTTAAATCCAAGTCTGAGAGGATCTGTGCAGTAGAGCCTGGACGCCACTCTAAGGTGCAATTAAAATGAGAAAAAAAAAACTTGTTTTAACCACAGGCAAATATAACTACTCCAAGAATGTTTAAATTTAGAGAACCTCTGACGCATTGTGGAATATTAAAAGAGGTAATTTGACACGTCATGATGTGCATTATTTATTGCTTTCTAGTTTGGCCTTTATTAGAGAAGTCTGCACAATTTATTCCCAACCACGCACATAATTTCTGGTTGTTTTCCACAGGAAGTCAGAGAATCACAGAATGCCAGGGAGTGGAAGGGACCTCGAAAGATCATCTAGTCCAGACCCCCTGCCAGAGCAGTAACACCCAGATTAGGTCAAATTCCTCTGCATAGAATACTACTAATATATATAATAAGAACCACTGGCAGTCCAAAATAGAGGAGTAAGACTTTCTGTGGTTTGGAAAAACCATTCTTAGTTAATTTACCAGTATTTTCTCAAGAGTAAAAATTGCATCCTCTACTTTCAAATTAAGACAGTAATGAGGATATTGCAAAACTTCTTAAATGGAGCTTCTACTATGAGATTATTAGGCCTTTTAGGTCAGACTTTTTTTTTTTTTTTTTTTTTTTCAGAAGAGAACAGCAATTCTGAAAGCCTTCGAAGACGGTGATTTTCATAGGTTGGGTGGCTCATCATCTTTAACAAGTGAAATTCCTCTAAGTTATAATTTTTTTGAACGATCATAAGATCAAAATTGGTACCAATTTCTGAAACTGCATCATTACTTTTCCATCAGTTAATTGTCCATGCTGTCATTATCACATTAATTAGTACCTGCGATACTGTCAGACATGAATACATTTGTGCTAACAGTCATTAACAGGCTCTTTACACACTAATGACAGTAGACAAAAACTTTAACAATCATGAAAAAGAACTCTATAAGAAAGCATTAATTTTAAATGCATATTAAGATCGTGATAAAATGTGGTATATTTCCATCCAGCTGAACATAAATTCAATTTTTGTTGCTTTTGTAGGAATTTTTGGCAATGTGGAAAAGTCAAAATCACAAAGCACGTTTCATCAACTCTGTATAGGATCACAAGCAGCAACCTACCAAGAGCTACACTCTCAGCTTTTGGCCACTGAGAACATGGCAGATTTCGATAGACTTGGTCTATTATCTTTTCCTTTACTTGTGATATGGTATCACAGTTCAGCACTTTCACAGGTGTAGAATCAGTTCCTCCATCTTGGACATACACATTTACTGTCTGTGAAAGAAAGAACGCATACGGTTATTATGACAAATCAGTGCTTAAATTACCTGTAAATCTGGCTTACTAGATAGTTCAAATGCAAACATTATTTACATAAAATAAGTTTAAATAAAAAATTCGTTGATCAATGATTACTGCACAATAATATATATTTGCAATGATACTATAGATTGTTTCAGAGATCCTTCACTATTATGCAGTCAGCAGCTCTTTCAAAACTTCAACTCATTCTTCCCACTATGATAAAATAAAAAAGCTGCAGAATAGATTTGCTTGTTGTGTGCAGTATGATGCCATTATCAAATCCTGGGAAATTATTAATTTTTTAAATAAAGGAGAGGCACAAGAACAAAGCAGCTGGAGCACTGGCTAGCTACAGGCTTCTCTTGTGGCCTGATAACTTGGGGCGCAAGAAGCACAAGTAACACAGTGCCTAAACTTAATGTGTTACCAATAACCACCTGAACTGCACTTTTTTGAACTCCTAGAATACAGCACACTTTTGTCTTCCTTTATGCTATCTTCACAGACTGGGTTTTACCTCTCAAGCTAAGCAGGCTAAGCCAGTACATATGTGATCTAACATGGCTCAGATGATGAGTAGTGATTTGTCCATTCCCATAACTTTATCTCCTGTGACCAGCTGCTCACTAGACATATATGAATACACAGACACATATATCTGTATATATAAAAGCCATATACAACAGCTCTGATGTTCCAATACTTTATTTATTGCTCACTATTGTCACAATAACCATAATAGCTGCAGGAAGTACACCTAAGTAGTTTATAATAGTTCTAAAATATTACTGTTTTCTGATAGTACTGACATGTTTTTTTTTTTATGTTAAAGTGAATCTCTTGAAAGCCTGTAATTTGTTATATCTAGGGGGATTTTTTTTTAAGTATCTTCATTATACACATCAGTTTCAGCACAGATAGAAGCAAATGAGAAAATGATGGCCAGTAAACCTCCGTGGGAGGAAAAAATACCCAAAACAAACAGACATTGCAGCAAACCTCTTTCTTTCAGTATCCAAATCAGTACAACACCACATCTTTGTGGAGGTTTTGCTAGTCAGGAAGCTTTGGAGGCCAGGCATGTCACAAGACCAGCCAGTGATCCTAAGCATCTCATCTGGTCCTGCCAACCATGACACCTAAATTTATCACCATGAGCCTCAGAATTGAACTTGCACGGTTGGTATTTTTATTGCGCGAAGAAAAACTACACCATACGGCAGTGAAATTAAACATGATTGCACTGTCCCTTGGCAGAACTCTCAAACTAATCATGAGATTTCACCTTCCTTTTCCTATTAGCTTTATGGTAATTAGACATGATTTGCTGCTGGTTCAGTATGCAGCATGTCAGCGTAACCAGTGATGCAAAACAGACTCAGCTTTTAAATAAGAACAATCAGAGCGCAGACAGCTCTGTACCGTACTCTCCCACCACATCTCACTTTCCAGCAGAAGTGAACTAATTAACTCATGCTTTAACTGACCTCGGTGGATGAATGCTCCCTAACTGTTCTCTATTACCACAACATCGTCACCATCATGCCGAAGGATCCTAATAATTTACAGCAGTGCTTCACAGTCTTTTACCACACATGTATCTGTATATATCTCATTATCTTGCACGTGCACACATACATACAAGATAATTGTTTTATGTGAAATTTGTAAATCTGGACCAAATACCGCCACTATACAATGTCATAGTGTTTAACATCTAAATATGCTTGTTCTGCCCACATCTGATTACATACACAAATTTTCTGCTGTTGCACTGCATTCATTTAGCTTAATTATAGGCATCAGATTTTTATGAAAAGAAACTGACTGAATAACAAACTGCTGCTATGAAGACTTGCACGATGCACAGTACAAATACATTTTCTTCACCATACACAAGAGAAAATGGATACAGCACTGTCACTTAGTGCAGTTCTCTGAGTGGTATTTTCAGCTCAGATATTAACACAGAAACACAGCTAATTCCCATCATAACAACTGAACTTAAAATATTCATTCTTGGTCAGCACTCCCTTTTCCTGCAGGCAGTCTAGGTAACAGTCGAGTGACTCTGTGAGTGAAAGTCCTACGGCAGTCTCCTCACATCAGCCCTCCCATCAGCATCCCTTCAGAATACGCAAACAGACTTAAAGCTTTTGGTTAAGTTTCTCTTTTGACACTGCAGGTATGTCACTGCGTCTTTCTCAGTTGGAGACAGCCACAAATGACTGCTAACATGTCAATAAAAGAGGAATCAGAGATGAAAAAAAATTTTCTGACAAGAAGAAATCAAAAGTGAAAGAAACAACCTGAAGTTCAAGCGCAATGTTAGTGAAAGAATTTAACAAAAATCAATCACAAGTTAATTTAGATGGAAAAAGGGAAGGACGTAAACACCACAGCCACTCTTCAGGAAGACCTTGAAAAATACAGAAGGGATTTAGTGAAGTAAATTCCATAGTGGTAGAACTGGAATTTAACGCATAGAAAATAGATTATAACTCTGTTTTCCTGCTTGGAGACTTGCTGACCATCTATAGTATTTCCCCTGATCAGAATTCCTGTGCAGACCATAGTAGTTCAGAAAGTATGTACAGTCTTTACACTAGACATCTTCATTATAATAGGAAAGTACTTTCATAACGTATTAACCATGCTCTGCTTACCAACTGTGTATACTCGACATCATCTCCTAGTAAGCCTGTGTCATTCAGCGTATACTTGGCTTTCTTCAGAACAGCATCCACTGGACCTTTCTCTACTTGGTGTTTGATGGCTTTGAACAATTTGTAAAGAGGCTCCCCAGCATTGTCCTGTTACAAGGAAATAAAGCAAAATAAACAAAAATGAAATATATACTCAGTGCGCATGTTTAAGTATTACTGATGAAAAAACCCCAAAGGCAACAGACTTCAGCTCTTACCTTGAGGTACTGATATAAACAAATAGACATCCAGTTAGACAACATTCTCTCAACAACTGTTTCAGATCTAAAAAAAATACAATGCCAAGTAAGTTAACGGCACTTAATGACAAAGTTTTAAAGAAAAGCGTTGCTTGAAATATAATATTTTTTACATGCTTAACTGCAGGCACTTTCCTAATGCAATGATTTCCCTACAGAGTCTTGAGAGCATGTACTTGCTTTATGATAAGTGCTTTGTATTGCTCATCATTCCCGAGTACCTTCGGCTCATTACTAAAAAGCACAGTCTTTATGCAAAACCTTAAACTGTGGCTATGCTGTAAGAAGAGCTAAAAAATTAACCCAGAAATGCGCAGACTGGGAAAGCAACTCTACAGATTACAAAGCACGTGTGCACAGCAAGGCCTTCTGTAATGGATTTGAGAGAACAGGAGGGTTAAAAACATTAGTGCAAGCCTTCATCGAATACATAATGAAAGCTGATTATGTGTGCTCATTACGGAGATGACGTGTGGTATAAATGCTAGATAATTTGGAATAAAATCAGATTAAAAAGTAAATGAAATGTTCATTATTGTATTTTGAAGTAAGGTAGATGCTTCAGCAACCTTGATACAGATTCTATGTCACAGCAATTTGAATAAGGAAATCTGTTGCCAACAGCCCAGCTTTTGCCTTTCACGGCTATTTCTGGTGAAGCTGTCTTCTTAATATGCTTGGGTGAGGGTGTCTGACTTCCACAGATAGCTGGTGTTTTAATACAGTCAAAAGAAGTTGCAAAAGAAGTACATTTTCAGGAAAATAGAGAACAAAAGAATAATATAACAATCATTCAAACCTTCTTAGCATCAGCTTTGGGTTTTTGGCCACCACGTACTGCTCCATCAGTTCTAAGAACAGCGTCCTCATGATGTCAGTATAGTATTCTAGTTTTCCATGTAAAGCAACCGTCAGTAAAGATGCAAAGTACACTTTAGCTCGAGCAGAGAACTCCCTTTGGTTTTCCAGCGTGTGAATAAACTGAAATAGAAAACAAATGGAAAAGCAGGTCAGTTGACGTTTTTGTGAAGAACCTCAACACTTGTCTGCATTACAAAGATGAGGAATATTATTTTAACAGTAACCTAAACACAACATGGAAAAGTTTTCAGAAGTTCGAAAATACTACTTGTAAGAATATGTTCCCTATCATTTGGTTTTAGATAGATTATTTGGTTTAGCTAATCCAAGGAA